AACCTTGTGCTTATCTTGAGCTAACCTGGCCAATCTCTGTGGATGTCCTAATCCAGGACTTCAGTTGCCTTTTATGAGCTTCCTGTCATTTCTCCTTCACATCCAGTCCCCTTTGATCCTTTGATATGTTCTATAAAGAAAGTGTTCTCTACTAAAGCCACAGGTGTGGGCCTGATTTTTTTTTTTATTGAATGTGTATTTATAGATCACAAAACTATATTTCCTTGGGAAATGCTGTCTCTATCACTACTACCTGGATATTAGCAGCAGCTTCCTACCTATTTTTCTTTCAAATTTATGTGTCTTCTGTATAACTGTTGCATTGATCACTTAAAAAATTTTTAACTTTGTTTCCATTAGAAAAATAATCTCCACATGGGTGCACTAGCATTCAGGACAATGTTCATATTACATTCAAAAGTCTCTATCAAAAATAATTGAATTTTAGAGGTTTTATGAACTCATTGTACAATAAGAAAAAGTTTCAAATATACCAGTAGCCTCATAGATTTTCACAAAGTATATGAAAAATAAAAGTGGGGAATTTGTCATGTCTGGCAATATGTAATAGACATGTCCAGACTAATGGATATGGCTCTAATTCAGTCTTTTTAACAGGTGCATAATATTCCTTAGTACCATGTACCAACATTTATCTGTCTCTATATTGATAGGCATTCAGGTCATTTCTGTTTTATCACTACATCATACATTTGCATATATATATAATATTAGGTATTGATTCTTATACAACGCTTACATAATTATGCAATCACCTAACAATTCCAATGAAAGTATAATGTAATTTCATTTACCACATTTGCATTCTGAGCCCTTCTTTAAACCAGAAACTCTGGCAAAGTGAATGCAAATCTTACTGGCCAGACTGAGCCATGTGTCCATGCTTAAAGCTTGGGGTGAGACTCAGCTCCCCTTTTCTTAGCTGTTATATTTTGGTGCAAAGAGTGCCTTCCTGGAGGAAACTGGCATATTGCTACCAAGAAGGGAGAATGGAGCTGGGTGGATAAAATATAGCAAATATTTTACTATAGAAGCTAATGACCTATTCACCCAGGAAGCAAATAGGTGACAAGGATCCTATTCTCCTACAGGAGAATAGGAGGAACAGAAACAATGAAGCTTCGATGTTTTATCTCCTTTTGAATAAAATCTGACTTAGGAAAAGCTCTGTTAGCCTGAAGATCTAGAAGCTCTAGTGGGCAGCTTTGATCAGCTTAGAACACTTGTAAATTTTGTTTGTTCTACGAAGGTTATACACCCAGTCTGGATTTGAATATTCTCAGCAATATGTAGGTGACAGTAGGAACTAATCAAGTTAGTTAGGTTTCTGAGGACCCAGAGGTTTTTCCAAATAGAATCCATGTATAGACTGAGGTTATGTCTAGGCTTTGTGTCTCTTAAAGAGGTAAAATAGGTGGTCCATATAACGTGTGGAATCCCTTTTGTTCAGCCTGTGAGTCTGCCCAGAAATATTCCACACCACATGAGTCCTGACTTTATTAGTGTGTGTAGCCACATACCTAAAATGAGTTTTCATTATTAGATTTGCAGATGTACCATTTAGCCTTATTCCTGGGACAAATAGCCCTTCATTTGAAGAGGAAACACAATATGTAGCTGAAAGGCCATTTGTACAATGACTCAAGATTCTTTTCTTCCCATTGTTTCAATGTTAAGAGATTCCAGGTATTTCCACTACCCTTTACAAATCAGAGAAAATGTGAAATTAGCTTAAAAAATAGAGAAAGATAAGGAGAAGGTCAGGAGGGAAAAAGGCCAGAGGAAGAGTAACAGATAGAGGGAGGGAAGAAGAAATTGCACACCATCTTCTTATTTCTTTAGGTAGCTACCCCTTCTTTCTAACTGTTGACCCAGAAAAGTGCCTCAGGCTTACCTTGCCTCCCATTTCCTTTGTTCATACAAGCCGCTCTTTCATTTTCATTGAAAAGGCTACTCCTAAGAACCTTAAATCCGAGATTAAGGAATGCAGCTCAGGATTGAATATTTCATTTCCTTTCATTGGGTCTTATTGTTAGTATTTTCTCCAAATTCCAAACTCCTTCTCTTTCTTTCATGGAATTATTGGTACTTAGCCTTTATTCCTTGGAATGAGGACTTTTAAATGCTTCTATCTTTAGCAATTCTAAGCTCAGAATAAGTTCTGAAATGAATACAGAAATACCTCTGATGTTCAATATTCAAGACATCACTCCCCCACCTCCACTTCCAACCCCCAGACATTTATAAGAAATAATTAAGTTTTCAGTCATTGGCTAACTTCTACTCAATTGAAGGATCTTTACTGAAGGCGTGTTATTTGGTAATGCCATGATTTATTAAGTGGTATGACTTATTAGGGTCACAATCTCAGCTCTGGTTTTAAAATAAATATCTCAAATCCTAAAGTTCCTCTTGTACCATAGCCAAATGCAGTAATTCATCCGTGAGCCCAACATTCAGAACGGAAAAGCATTGTTTGGTTTCTGTTTGGCAACTTAAAACAAATTGAAAACAGTGCTTTAAGATGATTTTGAAAAATGGATATTTTCATGACTGAGTAAACTAAAAGCTTTCCAGAGTTGCGAAAAATAGACCTATGGATGCTTTTCAGAGTCATTGGTCACAAATGAGGTGGGTTAGTTTGTCCAGCAGGGGGCACTTTTTTCTAATTTGCACAAGGGTGCTGAATGTTCTAGAAGTTGCCTATTTTTGATGCCAGTTGGGAGCAGAAGCCAGGAACCTCAAAGAGCTTTGCATGAGAAGCAAAGACGAGAGAGTGTTCGGCTTTTCCGATTTTCATAAATATTTTTTTCTTGTGTACCAAAAACTGGAGAGACTAATGAGACAATTAAATCATATTACTTCTTGTGCAAGTGCCAGTTTGTGGGACTCTACAAAGTTCTCTAAAACTGACTGCAGTTTTAAACGTAGTTGACCCATCTTTGCTCACCTGTACTTTTGGACATCAATAGGTCCTTTTTCCTTATGCATATAGGAGATGATTCCTAAAAATATTGCCTGTTGTAGGTAGAGTAGAAATATAGACATGGAATCTATCTCTGGCCAACTCCTATCCTGACAATTTATACCACATTTATTAGAATTTCATGTCCGTATGATTCATCCAAAGTACTTTTGTCAAATATGCCTCTGTTCTTTCCCGTTTCCTGCATCATTAATTTAGTAAATCTTGGTGATCTACAATACGGGTAGGTCACGTTTTTTTCTTACTTGGTAACACTCAGCATTCTGCTTATTAATAGGTAATTTTTATCAGATAATATTATGAAAATGGGTGAGAAAATTGCTACAAAATTGTTTACCCTATAAACACCAAGAGGTGCTTGCCGGTGGGGAGGAGGAATGGACAGACCTTCTAATGCTGACCTGACTTTTATGTCCCTTATACCATCCTTCCCAAAAACCAGATTGCGGGCCTCCCCTGGTGGTGCAGAGGTTGAGCGCTGTGTTGTGAAGCCACCCGCAGCCTCTGCAGCATCGTTTCCACCAGCGAGGGTCCCACCTGGCGCGCAGACCTCTCCTGCTGCCCGCTGCTCCCCTCAGTAGTGTGTTTCGTCAGTCTGCCTGTTCTGTTCCCCGCTCTGGCTCTGGTGAATTCTCTCACCCTCCTGTGCTTCTGACTGTACCCGGTGCTTGTATAAATAAATAAATAAATCTTAAAAAAAAGAGAACAAAACAGATTGCTGTCTCTCTTGTTTTCCTCTATGAAATTCTAGAGCAGCGTCTCCCACTGACTCTTCTATAATCATTTTTAATTTATTTTCACCACAGTTTTATGAATACATTACCAAGAAACCAGTCACTCAGATGTGTGTTTAAAGGTTGAGAAAGAGACTGGTCATTGGAAGACCTTTCATATATTTTAATGGTGGCTAAAATATATTGTACTCCTTGAAAGAGAATAGTTGATATATAACTAGAGTTTATTTGTTTAAAAAGAAATTAAACTTAACTTTTAAACAGAGAAAGTTAAACAGTAAAAAAGCATGATATTGGAATAGATTGGCAGGCTTCATAGTGTGAATAATGAATTGGCCTCGTATTCAGGTCATTCTAATGCCGCTTCCTTCTTCAAGTTTCTTTGTACTTATAAAGTCCATTGTGCCCAGTCAAATCCTGTCATTAAATGGTATACACCTGAATGGATTTATCAGAATCAACTGAACTAGTTTTTAAAGGCAAAGGCCAACCACAAACAAGATTACTTTAATGAATTCCCAAACCACTAAAGGTCATTTGGACATGTCTAGGAAACTTTCCTATCTGTATGTAATATGCAAATATGTAGGCAGTAGTATCTAGAGTAATAAAAGTAAAATGGTTAGGAGTTACACCGTTTTTTTGAATAAACAAAGTTTTTTTTTTTTTTTCACCCTGAGAGACTGTACCCATATAGCTGGGATCCAGTTGTGGACAGTGTGTGGATTCACACCTTGGCCCTTCTACCAGGATCCACAGTCTTAGTCCAACCAGTCACTTAACCAGCCAGGCAAACTTTTGCCTGTGCATCTATTTTGCCCTAACCTTGGTCACTTTCATATCAGGCTTCTCATCAGTCAGTGGTAATGCTACCAGTCCTGCCTACCTGACAGATAATATTGTGCAAACACAATGATACATGTGAAAACACTTCTCTAAGTGTGTGTGGAAATAGTTTGTGATGATGTTGTCATTTGGATGAGGAAGACACTCTAAGACGATGCTTTTTGGTAAGCATCTCTGTAATCAGAGGATAAAGAATATTCTGAAAGTAATGCTTTAGTGTTGAAATACAAGTATGAACTTATCAGTGAATATTCTGTTATGTAGGACAATAATGCTCGTGTCTTATGGAGCAGATAGAGTAATTAAATTATCGTTCCTTTTGTTGTTTGAGTAAGACAATATCCTTTTCTACTTTATAATGGGTGGTATCTTGGGGCTATAATTTTGTCCTAATTACCTGGTTTCCTTCACAGGGTTGGCCTTTGCTATTCTGTCATCTGTGCATCCGGTGTTTGGCTTGTATGGGTCTCTGTTTCCTGTCATCATTTATGCCATATTTGGAATGGGACGTCATGTTGCCACAGGTATAGTTTATATCCAAGTTTATGCTTCTCATGTTGCCAATGAAAAGAACTCATAAGTGATCATTAGTTATTGATTATACTTCCAAAGCAGATAGACCTTCACTACTGAGGATCTCAGCCAATAGCAGGTCAAGACATTTTATTACTGTGCCTCAGATACTTAATATACATTGTGATTTATTGTTTTATTACTATGGAACCAAGGTTCTTGTTAAGCATTCTTTGCATTTTAAGTTATAAAGAGAAGGACAAGTTTTCATAACTTACAATGAAATGAAAATAATCATTTGAGTGGGAAACAAAGATGTGTTATTTAGTTACTCAAATGTTGAAAAATATTTTCCTTGTAAATGACATTTGGACCAAATGATCCTTTAGGTTTCCTCCAAGCTAGATTCAATAGCAGTCTTTAATTAGTATTATCTCTTACTTGCCTAGCTTTCTATTGCCAAATAAAAGCTCTCTGTTGCCAAAATAAAATGTAATTGTCACGGGCAATCGGATAATAGAGTAGTCTGGCTAAAACATGAGTTTTGAAATTAGATATACCTGGGTGTATGTCTCATTTGTTGCTTGCTATCTGTATGCACTTGGAAGAAGTCTCAAAGATCTATTTGCTGCTTTCTTGGTAATAAGATTTAATAAAATCTTAAATGTTATTGTAATAATAAAATGGTTAAAAGAAAATATCTATAAAGACCTTTCTAAATATTTTGTGTATATAAGATCTTAACCTGTGAGCAATAACACCATTTTGTGTCTTTTTCTTAAATGATCAATTTGTGTTAGTGAATTTCTTAGTTCCCTCTTTATAATGTAACAAGTTACCATGACCATATTGATTTTAAGAAAGAAAGATTTATTATCCTACAGTTTTAGAGATCAGAAATCTGCTATGTGTCTTCCTGGGCTAAAATTGAGGTGTCAGTGGGCTACATTCCTTTTTGGGGGCCTAAGGATCAATTGTGTTCTTGACTTCTCCATTTTCTAGTGACTTCCCAATTTCCTTGGCCCATAGCACCTTCCTCCATCTTTAGATGGAGATGCAGTGCTTAGCATTTTCAAATCATTCTCTAATTCTGGTCTTTTGCTTCCATCTTCAATATTTAAACGATCCTTATGATAACATTGGGAACACTTGGATAGTCCAGGCTACTCTCCCTGTTTTAAAGTCAACTGATTAACAATGGTAATTTCATCTCCAACATGAATTTCCCTTGCCATGTTGTAGAATGCATCCATGGGTTTGAGGGATTAGGACATGGAAGCATTTGGAAGGCCAAAAATTCTACTTCCCATGTTGATTTCTCATGCAGAAATTAACTCACAAAGTAATCTTATCTATGTAAATTTCACATATCACTTAACTTTGTTGTGGGGGACAGGATCAACTATTCTTAGTCTTTGCTACCACAAATTAGCAGGATCAGAGGTATGTGAGAGTTTGTTAGAAATGTGAAATCTTGGTTCTCACTACAGACAGATCTACCCAATTGGAATCAGAACCAAGATCTTTATAACATGTATATATATGATATGTATATATAACATGCATATATACACATAAAATTACTTAAATTTTATAATTATAGATGTGCTATATATTAGATACCTTATTAAGAGCTTTAGATATATTATTTTATTTTGTCCTAACACAATTTTTTTAACTAGCCATTATTATCTGCACTTTTCATTCTAAAAAACCCTGTAATTCAGAAATGTTTCTGTGAGAACTCAGAGTTGCAAGTGCAAGGACTACAGCCTGGCCTTGGCCAAATCTAAAGCCCAAGCTTGTTTTCCTTACAACCTGGTACTCAAGAGTACACATTCCTTTTGTGTTGATGCAAAAGGAAACTGCAAAATAATGATTTAGAAGTTCTTGAGACCTATTCTTTCTGAATTATCCTGCTTTCTAATTTCCTAGCAATTTATTTTCCTTTTTCAAAGCATAGATATGTGTCAGTAGTAAGAAGCAGCACATTGTTTTAGAGGTAACCCAAAAGCATTTCCTCTGTTAAACAAAGGATGAAAAAAAAGTGAAAAAAAAAATTATGTAATTGACCACAATTACTTTAAGAAGTTAAAACCACAATTTGATGCCTAAGTGTACATATATTTACTTTAATCACTTCTTTTCCTAAGGAGCCACTGTGGATATTTCACTGGGGCATGGTTTTGAAATTGCCATTTTTATAAGACTGTACTTAACAACTATTATTAACAGCTATAGGAACTTAGTAGTATACTAGGAAAATAATGTACATCTCAAAATACATGTAATTCACAAACTTAAATATAGTTACTATATCACACAATAAAAGCTTAAGGTATTTTATTTTTGTCTGTGTATTTTTCCAAAGAACAGTTAGTTAGACCTTCTCATTTCTTTTTTATCCCAATAAAATTCTTTAGAATCAATAGAAATCCTTTTCCTTCATGATAACATTATTAATAATATTTGCTAAACATGGAGTTGTATAAACAGAAATACATCCATGTAAATGAATATATATGAATATATAAATTGTATAGATGAATTATTATTTTTTATTTTTTTAAGATCCATTTATTTATGCACGCAAGAACTGGGGTACAGGCCAGATGTGCGGGTGAGAGGATTCACCAGAGACAGAGTGGGGAACAGAAAAGGCAGATTGATGAAATACACTGCTGAGGGGAGCAGCAAGCAAGACAGGAGAGGTCCACTGCACCATGTGGGAGTCTCGCCTGCTGGCTGGGATCGAACCCACGCTGCAGAGGCTGCGGACAGCTTCACAGTGCGGTGCTCAACTGCCTGAGCCATCAGGGGAGGCCCCAGATTAATTTTTTTTTGACTTTCCTATGATCTCAAACTTAGAGAACAATTGAATCTCACCAAAAACTTACTGCCAATATTTACTAAAGAGAGTGCATTTTTATTTTAATTGATCTTATTGTATATATAAGAATTCTTATTTCTTTTAGTATTTTTTTTCTTTTAGCATGAAGAGATTGATTTTGTTTTCACAAAAAAAAAAAATCACTTTATTTAGGATTTTACCTCCAATTTAGATGGAATGGAGTACTGAATTCTAAATACAATAATAATTCATACTAAAATTATCTAAGTCAGAATATAAAAGCAACATGGTTAGATTTGTGATAGATTTTTTTTTAATGTATGAAATCTCATTTACTTGCTACCCAAATTTTATAACATTTTATCATCCACATACAAATAAGGAAGCCAAGAGAATGGGTAATGACTAAGACCACAAGCTAATATGCAACTCAACCGGAATTTGAGTTTGGGTCTGGCCAGCTCTGAGGCCCATATTTGTTTCCTACTGTTCCTTGCTAATCCAAGTCAGGCCTATGAAGCTATTAGAAGGATTTCATGGTATTTAAGGGCCCCTCCCAGTAGGTTTAAAGGTAGAAAATTGGGTAGAAAATTGAGAAAGTGAGGAAAAGTGCAGGCAGAGTAGAGGAAGTAAAACCAAGAGTCAGACCTATAAGGTAGAGAAGATTAAATGTCATCCACAACATATTCATCTACAAACCAATGCCCTTGATTGTAGGTAATGGCAAAGCATTATCCTTGTAATAAGGCAGTTCTCCCATGTCCAAGTTGTCATAATGGGTATCCCCAAATCTATCACCAACAAGGTTTCCCATTAGAGATTTTCTTGGTATGTGACTCACACACAGGTGAGGCTCACTTTTCTTCCCTCAACAAGACCTTTTGGATGCACTCTCCTTTTTACCATTAAGTCTTTCATCCTATAATCCTTGAAATCCCAGGAAAGACAGGCCTGAACTCAAACATTAATGCTAAAATACCTTTGCTTTTAACTCCATAGTCATTTGTTCAGAGGTTTTTATACAAATCATTTTTGCTCTATACTCCATGAGATCTAAATACTCAAAGGCACACTTCTTTACCCTCAGTATCAGACTTCAAGAAATCCTGTTGTAACAGATCATATGGGTTAATGTTTATTTAGTGTTGCCTATCCTGGATGACAGAACCTTGACTCCAGTCATTAGATATATTTGTTTCTTGATGTGGTCTCAGTTTAGCGCCTTATGATGAGGACAGTGCTCATGATGGTTAATATTTATTAAGGACTTATTGAGACTCACTTTATAGTTCCTTAAGAGAATGGTATTCAATTGGCTGTATTTTTCAACTCTACAGAACAGAGAAGAACATAGAATAACAGATCATAACAGAGTCTGTTGACATTAGTCTTATTAAGAATTATTTTTTTAGGTGCTAACTACATGCCATATACTTTGTCATATATAACATGTCACAGTATTTAATTTAAGTCTGCTAACAGCCCCATTTGGGTAAGGGAAGAGATTGAGGTGGCAGTGCTAGGATTTAAGGTCAGGTTTGTTGGAGGCCACAACTGTTCTGAACCACAGCACATACTGCCTCTCTGATCCAGTAAGTCTGTTTTGGTTTTCATTGAGACCTTTTTCTGTTTGACTCATGCCTATCATGCCCTGTGCTTCTTCCTGCTTCACTGGAATGTCTACAACTTGCTAAGAGCCCTTTTTCACAAATTCTCACTTCAGATCTGGGGCAAAGTCTTTAATAAGTTGGGGGGATATCTGCATAATGCTGCAAATTTTTTCTTTAACCCAAACTTGCTGAACCCTCTTTGGTAACTGGCATTTCCCTGTTCGCAAGCCTGTATTCTCAAATACCTTGCCAGGATGAATGGCATCAGAACTCTTGTCAGGGAAAGGAGAACACATTGAAGATGGTCCCACATTTGTGTGAGGCCAGGCAATTTCTGGGAAATGTCATTGAATCTTCTGTCCACCTATCAGTAAACAGAAATGGTATGTTTAAAACATTTTTAAGGGTCACAGCATGTTCTTCTACTATAAGATCTACTCTGCTATGACAGAACAGGGAGTCTAAAGATTAAAAATGGTCTGGAGGATCTGGAATGAATTGCTGTGTGGTATAAGATTTGAGTCAGACCTTGAAAGATAAGTGTTTACATATGTAGATTGGAGGAGCAAGCATATCAAGAAGCTCAGATTCAAGCAAAGAGTTCACATTTAGCCATTAGCCTACTAAATATGTAGGTCTCCATATCTATCATCTCATTTATATTTGCTCTTAATCCTAAATTGTAGGTTTTGTTGCCCTGTTTCATGGATGAGACCGTTTAGACATAGCCATGTGCTGTAAATCACATTGGTAACAAATGGAGGACTTACATTCAAATCCAGGCTATGATCCTAATCCCTGCCCCAAAGACATTCCCTATGCAAGACTGCAGGGAGGTGGAAAAATGTAGCACCTGGGAGTGCATAACAAGTAGATGGATGTGGTTATATGTTGGAACCTGTGTAAGTGTGGGTAAATTTCTTTATATATCATAGAATGGAATGATGGTCGAGGAGTAGGGGTGCAGAGGAGAGTGTTTCTAAAAGATGTTTGCCTCATGATATGAATTCAATTTCTAGGTGGAATGCAACAACTTTTTTTTTGAGTCTATTACTAATAGAAGTTTTCCCACATTCTTATTTTTAAGGTACATCTGCCTTGACATCCCTAATATCAGCCAATGCAGTGGAAAGGCTCGTCCCTCTGAGCAGCCAGAACCTCACTACACAGAGTAACACAAGTGTGCTGGGATTGTCTGACTTTGAGCTGCGAAGAATTGGTGTTGCTGCGGCTGTGTCCTTTTTGGGTGGAGTGATCCAGGTAAGTAATACATCTGGGGGTGTTGCGAGGCATACAATGGCAAAGGAAAAGCACTTTGTTTTGCTCTGTGTCTTGCCTTTGTGTCCTTAGATGGATAAGGGCAGATGTGTTTTATTTTCATGGGAATACAGTTTATTATACAGAGTAGTTTAGAATGAATGAATGAATGAATGAGAATCAATAAATTGAAGTTACAGAGAAGCAACTTAGGACTTTTTAAGAATAAACTTTCTAAAAAATGTTTTACAAAACACAGTGGGCTTCCTTGCAAGGCATGGGGTGGTCCTGTGTCCCCACTATGACCAGATTTTCACTGTTTGGTAATGTAAAATTCCTACAATGGGAGGGAGATGTGACTCGAATTCTAGGAATTAACTCAATTTTTAAGATTTTTATGATTTTACTACCTACAACCTACATCAGTACAAATGGAAATATATTTGTGCCTTAGACTTGTTGGCGTGAAGTATTTGGACTTAGATCTGTACCAGTCTTTGTCCCTTTGAGAGTCAGGCATGTGTCTCACTGCCAGGACTGAGCTAGACCGGTTTTTCAAATTGTGAGACTAGTTTAAATTAGGTAACTCAGCAGTAAATATAAAATAAATGTAGAGAAGTACTGACTCTTAAGCAGGGACTGCCTATTTGATTTACTTTCACATTTTAAAGTGAATTATGTGTATATAAACTTCCAGGGTGTTCCTGTTTTATAATACAATGAAACGTTATTTACAAGGACAAAGAGGCAGAAAAACGGTTGATGATTGACTAGAATTGGATGGTAGGAAGAGAAGGTGTGATCTAGAGGGCAGGAAACATTAAAATTCTAAGTTATGCTGGTTTCCAGCTTTGTAAGGACAGAAAAATTAAACAAATTAAACAAGTAATGGACATCCTCATGGTGTTTTTTTTTTTTTTTTTTAAACAGACCATTTATGTGGCAGCTTTGCCTAGAAGGCTACTAGACTAGAAGGTCAATAAATATTTTCTATGGCTGATGTCTGGGCTTTCATGAAATACAAACCAGTATCCTAAAGCTTAGCTATATTTTTATAAAAAACATGAGTGATGTCAGTGTATTCTGAGACTTGCACAGGACGGCCTAAGGATGCTTGCTTGGCCTGTTCAAGACCTGTTAAGGGATCTGTTGTCTGTGTCCATCTCAGAAATAATCAGCCATGTAAACTGGTGTTTCAGGCATGGATTTGTTGCACTAGGTTTGGTACAGGTGTTCCTTAATATCTTTTTGTTTGCATAAAGGTTTCTATATTAACATAGCAAAAACAATATTGCTACTTCTTATGATTCCATTATTTTCCATACTGATTCTCTTTGAATTAATGATTTTCACTAGGTTTAGTCATTCTCTTAGGTGAATAGTATGATTTTTGAAAATCAAAGAAAAAATGTATAATTAGCAATGAGGCTCAGTGAATTTTTGCTAGTCTTACTATAATTATCAATATCTTTGAAACAATCACCAGGTATTTTGGATTAAAAATTTAAATGATAATAAAGTATAGAAGTAAAAGATGGGATTCTAATAACATAAAAAAGAAATGTCTCATTTCCTGGAATGAAACTCCCTAGACTCACAAGAGTAAAACAGGATATTATTAAAGATGATAAAACTAATTTGGTTTTCATGCTCTTTTATTACATGTAAAATCTGATCCAGAAAGTTGCATGTTTTGTCTTATAACTTCATCAAACATCTGCTTTCCTTTGTCTCTCACTCTGATCCTGTATATGTGACCTACATTTTAGCCAATTTTCAAACAGATGGCTGGACTTTCTTTGACCTCCAAACTCCTTTGTCCATTGTCAACCAGAACCCTCAAGTCTGTTGGATCTTTTGGATCTAGCTCCTCAGTGATTTTTCTTTTCTCTTTTAGATTTGTAATCCAATGAATAGGAGGGCTGTACAAGTGATAGAGTTTCTATAGTCTACAAAGGAGGAGATTTCCTTCCTTCCTTCCTTCCATTTTGTTTGGTTTTGCTTGTACATTATTCATTTTCACATTGTTCCTTCATTCCCTGCCCCAAAGATCCAGCTAATATTGTTAATGTGCTTGAAACAATCTTGTCTGATCTGGTTCATAGAATGTGTAGCAGTTGGAAATGCTCTTAGCAGCAAGTAACAGACTACCCTACTATTTAGAAGCTTACACTGTACAGACATTCTGTTGCTTCTTGTGTTATAAGAGAACAGAGTATAAAAGGTTATAAAAAGAGGTTTTTAAGGGTCTTTACTCTCTGGAAACACATTCAATTATTGAACAAATCTGCTTTTTAAAAATATTTGAAAAATGCTTCGTGACTATTTGTGTTTTCCTTATTTTGCTTTCTATTCTAGTAAATTGATAATAAGTATTCCCCCCCAAATTGTAGCGTTTGCTTGTCTATTTTTTGCTTGTCTATTTCCCCCTACACAACTCTCTCCATTTCATTACATGATTGTATATATTTTTTTTTTAAGATTTATTTATTTATTTATTTAGACGAGCACTGGGTACAGTCAGAAGCACGGGAGGGTGAGAGAATTCACCAGAGCCAGAGCGGGGAGCAGAACAGGCAGACTGACGAAACACACTGCTGAGGGGAGCAGCGGGTGGCAGGAGAGGTCTGCGCGCCATGTGGGACCCTCCTCCAGTGGCCGGGGAGCAGCCAGGGATCGAGCCGGCGCTGCAGAGGCTGTGAGCAGCTTCGCAACCCAGCGCTCAACCGCTGCGCCACAGGGGAGGCCCACATGATTGTATAATTCTAAGAATCTATCCATCTCATCTAGATTGTTGAACTTGTTTACATATAAATGTTCAAATTAATCTCTTGTTATGGTCTTAATTTCTGCAATGTCTGTTGTAATTTCTCCTCTTTCATTATGATCCTATTTATTTGAATTTGAATTTTCTGCCTCTTTTTCTTAGTGATCCTAACTGAAGATTTCTCTATTTTGTTTATTTTTTCAAAGAACCGCTTTTGGTTTCATTGATATTTTGGACTATCTTTGAAAACTCTTATTTCTTTTATTTCTGCCCTAATTTTATTATTTCCTTCCTTCTACTGGCTTTTGAACTTGTTCTTTTTCTAGTTCCTTGATATGAGAAACAAGGTAGTTTGTTTGGGCTCTTTCCAGTTTCTTATTGTGGCCCATGTTGCTATTGTATTGCTATTAGAGCTGTACTAATTATTCATCTCTAGGTATTTTTGGATTTCTTCTTGATATCCTCATTAACCCCATGGTCATTCAGTAGTGTATATTTCATTCTCCACATGTTACAGTATTTCCTTGTTTTCTTTTTGTAGTTGATTTGTAGTTCATACCTTTATGACCAGAGAAGATACTTGGTACGATTTCAGCCTTCATGAATTTGTTGATGCTTGTCTTGTGACCTAGTATATGGTTAATCCTGGAGAATGACCCATATGTACTTGAGAAAAATGTGTATTCAGTTTTTTTTTGTGGGGTCCAGGACCCCCATGTGGTCTAGTTCTTTGTTTTGGGTGATTTTTTTTTTTTTTATTTTCTGTCTTATTGACTTGTCCATTGGTGAGAGCAGGGAATTAAAGTCTCCAACTACACATGCATTCTCTCCAATGTCTGTTTTTAGATTTGATAGTAGTTGTCTGATGTATTTTGGTGCTCCTTCATTTGGTGACTGTATTTTGATGAGTGTTTTGTTGTATTTTCCCTTAATCATTATAGTGTCCATTCCTATCTCTTGTGATCCCTTTAGCCTGTAAGTCTACCTGATAAAAGTATGACTGTTCCTTGCCTTCCTTTAGTTGTCATTTACTTGAAGGATTGTTTTCCACGCCTTTAATTTCATTCTGTGTTTATCCTTGGAACTAAGGTGTGTTTCCTGGAGGCAGCAGAAGGTTGGATTTGGTACTTAATCCAACTAGATATTCTGTGTCTTTTTATTGGTGAGTTCAGTCCATTGATGGTTAGGGTGATTACTGATATGTAAAAGCCTGTTTTTGCCATTTTGTTCATCATTTTGTGGTTCTACCTAATTCCTTGTTCAGTTCTTTGTGTTCATTTCCCCTTTGGTTTGTTCCGTTTCTTCTTCAAGTTTATGAAAATTTCTTCCATTATTTCTTTAAATAGTTTCTCAGAAACTTTTCTCTTTTCTGGGATTCCTGTGATTCTTATTTTTCCTTTTATCATGGTGTCAGATACTTCTCAAAATGTTCTTTCTTTTCCTTTTCCTTTTCCTTTATAGCTTTCTTTCCTTTCCGATCTTGTTTCATTCCTCATTTTCATCTTCACAATTAATGATTTGTTCTTCCATTCTACATTCATGACTTTCTGCTGAATTTTTTTTCCTTTGTTGATCTTTTACATACTGCAACTTTATTTTTTTGTTTAAAGTTTCAATTTCGATCTTCTGTTTGTTGATTGTGTTTCTAATAGCATTCATTTTGCTTTCTTGTATATCTTTCATCTGTTTTTCTGAGTTTTCTTTGTAATGTTCCAATTTTTTTTTTTTAAGTCATGGCCATTTTGAATTCTATATCTGATTAATAAAAAAGCTCTTCCATGTCTTTGTGGCTTGGTTCTGGGGTTTGTTTTCTCTCTGTTATGTGTTGTTCCTCTGAGGTCTAGCTTTGACATTTGTATTTATCTTTCTCTCCATTGTTTGATTTGGGTTTGCCCTACAATAGCTGGGGGCTTTGCTGTATGTGATTCCTTCTCTCTCATTCTTCTGCTCGTTTACTTGATAGTGGGCATAACTGCTGGGGACTTGTGGGATCTGGGGTGGTACTAGGGCCTCCCCCAATGCACTTCTGAGTCTGGTTCTGGTGGCTGCTAGGGCTGAGAAGACACTGGGTAGAGGGTGCCTGGGAACCAACAATGAAGGACAATGCACTGTGCAGCTCTGGCTGGTGTCTGACTGCTCCCTAGGCACTGGCAGCTGAGTACTGAGACTTCTGCAGTTCCCCAGGGTGATTGGGGCCTGGTAGTGAAGGATGAATCCCTGTACAGCCTTAGACTGT